TTAAAAACTTTAAATGAACATTTAATGGTAAAGTTAAATGGTCCTTCAGTTGATTTGTTTTTGATTTTAAGTTAGCTTTTGAACATTGGTATTCTAAAGAAACATTTTTAATAAACTTTTAACAAATAAATTTATAAACAAATTATCAATTATTGTTATTATATGTAAAATTACTGACCACTGCACATTGGTTTGCTAATAATGTGGTAGCAATATGCTAATACTCACATAATTTTGAGTTTGAATTTTAGACACCACAAACTCAATCATATTTACTAACCAATCCATTTAATGCGCCAGCTTGAGTTTTCAAATTTGGGATCTCATATTTCGAGTTCTTTTTAAATCTAGCAGTTTTGTTGGTTATCACAGTGTCTTTTTTTTTTTTGAAAATAAACTTTCACTATTTGCCCTATTAAGTCAAGCATCGCACAAAAAATTCTTACCAGACATACTCAAACAATGAATGACCAAAAATCTCTCAAGTAGGTCGTGTAGAGAGTGATGAGTGAAAGTATCTTCATTGTTGGTATTTGCAACTTTTAATATAAGCAGTGGCTATGATCACATTAGTTAAAGGATTCGTTAACCATGTTGCTAATTGTAGATAAAGTAAATGCTTTTTTCCTTTGTTATATAAATAATAATAATTTTTATAATTTTATTTATTCATAAAAGGTAAAATAATCAATAATGTAATTAATTCAAAATTAGATTGGACTTTGCGCATTTTTAAAGAACAATTTACTTACTATTTTATTGGGAAACCTGCCCGTTTCTTTTTTCTTGCCTCATTTAGACATTTCTTTTGTTACTATTCCATCTAAAAAATAACCAAAAAGCACCATTCTCATATTGATCAATTTTGCAATTTCCAGGAAAATTTTATTTTCTCTGTATATTTTTTGTTTCCTTAGTATTATTTTACAAGTGCGTAATGATTATATAACCTTTTATTTATCCAAATGAATCAAAATAAAGTTTGCATAGTTGTTACATAAATAAGTCCAAAAAAGAAAATAATTCTCTGATTAATATTAATATATACTAATTAATGCTTATTGATTGAGAATACATTATCTATAGATATCA